TTATGGCTATTCTCATTCAAACTCCCTGAAGCTTTACCGGTGCAATTACCCTCATAATTGCCAATGGACTTCCTTTGTCCTTACTATTCTGCCTAGCAAATTCAAACTACAAGTGAATCCATAGCCGAATCATATTACTCCTCTCGGGCTTCAAACACTACTCCCACTAATCGCTCCCACATAACTCCCACAAATTGCTACAATTTGATGACTTGTAGCAAATCTTACTGACTTTGCCTTAGGCCCTAACATTAATCTAATAGGAGAACTCTTTGTAATAGTGGCTTCATTCTCCTGATCAAACATCACCATTATGTTTATAGGACTTAATATATTAATCACAGCCCTTTATTCCCTACACATGCTTATCACAACACAACGAGGAACACTTACATATTACATTAACAGTATTAAACTTCCTTTACATGAGAAAATATACTAATACTTACACACCTTGCACCTATTCTATTATCCCTAAACCTTAAGATTATTATAGGTTTTATACCCTGTAAAGATACTTTAATCAAAACATTAGATTGTGGGTCTACTGATAGAAGTCAGCAACTTCTTATTTACTGAGAAATTATGCAAGAACTGCTAACTCCTGGCCCCATGCCTAACAACATGGCGTTCTCAAGTTTTAGAGGATAAGAGCTATCCACAGGTCTTAGGAACCAAAAATACTGGTGCAACTCCAAATAAAAGTAATAATCATGTATTTTTCCATTACTATAACCTTAATCTCCTTAACCTTACCAATTATTACTATCTTAATCAACCCTCACAAGAACTTGTACCCATATTACGTGAAAATATCTATCTCATGCACCTTCACCATTAGCCTCATTCCCACAATGTTTGTGTATATAGACCCAGAAGCCATCATCTCAAACTGACATCCAGTAACAATCCAAACCCTCAAACTCTCATTAAGCTTCAAACTAGGCTACTTCTCCATAATATTTATCTCAGTGGCACTATTTGTCACCTGATCTATTAGAGAATTCTCAATATGATACATAAAATCAGATCCTAACATCAATTTTTCAAATATTTACTTCTTTTCCTCACCAAAATATTAATTCTAGTTATCGCCAACAATCTTTTTCAACTTTTTATTGGATGAGAAGGCATAGGAATTAGTCTTTTTTACTAATTGGCTGATGACAGAGCTGAGCAGATGCTAATACAGCAGCCCTCCAAGCGATTCTGCATAACCGCATTGGCGATATTGGCTTCATTTTAGCTATAGCATGATTTCTCTCCTCCAATATATGAGAACCTCAACAAGCATTTATCCTAAATCCTACCCCCGATCTTCTTCCATTAATTGGCCTTCTCTTAGCAGCAGCAGGAAAATCAGCTCAATTTGGCCTCCATCCCTGACTTCCTTTGACCATGGAAGGCCCAACCCCAGTCTCAGCCCTACTCCACTGTAGCACTATAGCTGTAGCAGGAGTTTTCCTGCTTATCCGCTTCTACCCCTTAATAGAAAATAGTATATTAATCCAAACCCTTACCCTGTGTTTAGGGGCTATTACCACCTTATTTACAGCAATCTGTGCTCTAACACAAAATGGTATCAACAAAATCGTAGCATTCCCCATCTCAAGTCAACTAGGCCTTATAATAGTTACAACTGGCATGAATCAACCACACCTGGCATTCCTACACATCTACACCCACGCCTTTTTTAAACCTATATTATTTATATGTTCAGGATCCATCATCCATAACCTCAATGATGAACAAGATATCCGAAAAATAGGAGGACTATTTAAGACTTTACCCCTTACTTCCTCCTCCCTTATTATTGGCAGCCTGGCATTTACAGGTATGCCTTTCCTCAAAGGATTTCACTCTAAAGATCTCATTATCAAAACCACAAACACATCATATACCAATGCCTGAGCCCTCTCTACTACTCTTATTGCCACCTCCCTAACAAGTGTCTATAGTATCCAAATTATTTTCCTTGCTCTAATAGGACAACCCCATTTCCCAACCCTAATCAGCATTGATGAAAATAACTCTTCCCTAATAAACCCAATTAAATGCCTTACAGTCAGCAGTATCTTCACTGATTTTCTCATTACCAAGAGCATAATCCCTACTTCATCCCCCGCAAACAACAATACCACCCCCCCTAAAACTCACAGCCCAAGGGGTAACCATCCTAGGACTCTTACTGGCAATGGAACTTAGTTTTATAACTAATAATCTTAAGATAAAATATCCATTACAAACATTCAGCTTCTCCAATATATTATGATTCTACTCAATCACAGTTCACCACACAACCCCTCACTCAAACCTATCTACAAGCCAAAACCTGCCAGCACTTCTGCTAGACCTAATTTGACTAGAAAAGTCCTTACCAAAGACAATTTCACAGATCCAAATCACAGCCTCCATTACCATAACTACTCAAAGAGGCCTAATTACATTTTATTTCCTCTCTTTTTTTATTCCATCCTTTCTAACTTTGCTCTTAATTATCTATTACCCTGAGTAATTTCAATTGCAACATAAATACTAACAAACAATGTTCAACCAGCAACTACCACCAATCAACATCCATAATTATATAAAGCACCCGCACCCGCAGAATCCTCATGAATCAGCCCTGGGCCCTCACCCTCAAAGATTATTCAACTTCCCACACTCACAAAATTAACTATGATCACCACCCCATCATACTCACTATTCATCAAAGTAACACCAACTCTATTAGTAGCCCCAATAATAAAGTTTCTAAAACTTCAATACTTGATCCTCATTACTCAGGGTATTCCTCAATAGCCATTGCCACAGTATAACCAAAAACAACCATCATCCCCCCCAAATAAATCAAAAAGACTATTAATCCCATAAAAGCTCCACCATGGTTCAACACAATAACACAACCTACAGCAGCACTAAGAATGAACCCTAAGCCCCCATAAATAGGAGAAGGTTTAGAAAAAAACCACAAATCCCATAACAAAAGAACACTTAGTAAGAAAAAAGCCTATGTCACTATCCCACATGGATTATAGCCATGACTGATATGAAAAGCCATCATTGTACTTCAACTATAAGAACACTAATGACCATTATATGTAAAACAAGCCCACTAATAAAAATCATTAATTACTCATTCATTGATCTCCCCACACCATCTAATATCTCTATATGATGAAACTTCGGCTCACTTCTTAGTACCTGCTTAATCCTCCAGATCATCACAGCGTTATTTCTGGCCATACACTACACACCCGATACCTCAATTGCTTTCTCTTCTGTTGCCCATATTAACCAAGATGTGGACTACAGCTGAAGAGTCCGCTATTTTCACACTAACGGCTCTTCAACATTCTTCGTCTGCCTCTTCCTACACGTTGGTGGAGGCTTATATTATGGGTTATTCATATATTTAGAAACCAGAAATATTGGCATTACCCTCCTACTCACAACCACAGCAACAGCATTTATTGGCTATGTGCTTCCATGAGGCCAAATATCATTCTGAGGCGCTACAGTAATCACAAACCTATCAGCCATCCTATATACTGGAACTGACCTTGTCCAATGAATCGGAGGTGGATTTTCAGTTGACAAAGCCCCTCTTACACAATTCTTCACCTTCCATTTCATCTTACCTTTCATCATCATAGCCCTAACAATTCTCCACCTTTTATTCCTACACGAAACAGGGTCTAATAACCCTTCAGAAATTCCATCACATTCCAACAAAATCACCTTCCACCCTTACTATACAACCAAAGCTATTCTAGGTTTAATTTTTCTCCTCCTCCTTTTAATAATTCTAGTATCGTTTCTCACCTGACCTCCTGAGTGACACAGATAATTACACCTTAGTCAACCCCCTAAATACCCTGCCCCACATTAAACCAGAGTGATACTTTTTATTTGCATACGCAATCTTATGGTCCATCCCCAATAAACTAGGAGGTGTACTGGCCCTTCTATTATCCACTCTCCTTCTAGCAGTTATTCCTGCACTCCACACATCCAAACAACAAAGCATAATATTCTGCCCATTAAGGCAATATCTGTTCTGAATCTCAGTCACCGACCTACTAACACTCACATGGATCAGAGGACAGCCAAGAACATCCTTTCATTACCATCGGACAGACAGCATCTATGAGATATTTCTCAATTATTCTTGTTCTCATACCACTCACTGCCCTAATCAAGAATAAACTACTTGAATGAAACTGCCCTTGTAGTATAATCCAATACGCCAGTCTTGTAAACCAGAAATGGAGAGTCCCTCCCCAGGGCAACTCAGAGAAAAAGCATTCCCACTTCACCATCAACACCCAAAGCTGAGATTCTAATTAAACTATTCTCTGTATTCTCTTCAGCACACATTTTAATTTCTATGTAAGTACTGACCATCAGCACTAATACATTAATACTTTTATGTACTTTGTGCATTACTGCTAGTCCCCATGAATATATAGTACTGCCAATGCTTGATTGTGCACAGTACATTCACAGATTAGGTGACATTACAAGCTTGCTCCACATGCATATAAGCAAGTGTTCACAATTTCTTAACTATCATACTTAATACTACACTTACATACAGAACTAGTTCTACATGGATATCGACCAGTACTCAAAATTCTTAATATTACATAGTACATTCCTTTGTTCATTGGACATAGCACATTTCAGTCAAAACCACCCTCGCCAACATGGATATCTCCTACCAAATTTTGGTCTCTTAATCTACCAACCTCTGAGAAATCATCATCCCACTCGGGCATGTTACCCTCCTCGCTCCGGGCCCGGAATACTTGCGGGTGACTGTACGGAAACTATACCTGGCATCTGGTTCTTACCTCAGGGTCATAAAACTAAGATCGTCCACATGTTTCCCTTAAATAAGACACCTCGATGGACTAGTGACTATCACCCTATTAACCAGTCACGGGAGCACTGTCATGCAACTGGCATGTTTAACTTTTGGGGATGCTATCACTCACCATCGCAGAAGGTCTGGTCCCCTTGCCATCGGCTGTAGTTGTACTTGGATTTGATTTCCACCAAACCAATTGTAGAAGTCGCACCTACTCCCTCAGGTAATCCACTCGACTCGGCCTCCCAAAGTGCTGGGATTACAGGCGTTAGCCGCCGTGTCCAGTGCTTTCTTTTAATTGAAAAAAAGATTTTTTTGGCCAGGCACAGTGGTCACACCTGTAATCCCAACACTTGGGGAGGCTGAGGTGGAAGGATCGCTTGAGCCCAGGAGTTCAAGACCAGCCTGGGTAACATAGGGAAACCACTTCTTCCCTAAAAATACAAAAAATGAGCCAAGTCTGGTGGTGCTTGCCTGCAGTCCCAGCAGCCCCAGCTACTTGGGAGGCTGAAGTGGAAGGACTGCTTGAGCCAGGAGTTTGGGGCTACAGTAAACTACATCTTAAGGCAGGACAGGTAGTCAACGAAGTGCCTCCCGGCCCTGCCCGGAGTCCTCACCTCCTGCAGCTGCCAGGGGTACCACTGCTCCTTAATGCCCCGCTTCGGTTGTCCAAGTCGGAGCAGAAGCTCCAGAGGCCACCCAGCTCCTTGCGCTCCCGCAACATGCTCTCCCAGGGGTACAGCATCCCGCCTTGCAGCGCCAAAGCGCAGCCATACAACAGTGGCCAGAGCGCCGTCCAGGCCACCCTGTCCACCGGGTCACACTTTCCGCTCCACGGCTAGGCCGCCGTCTATGGGGCTAAGAGCAGTGGGGCTAAGAGCAGCACGGGAGGAGCCCAGCGTTAGGGGCCTAGGGCTGTCCAAGCCATCTTTGCTGAGGACAAGTGCCAGGCCTGCAGGGGCAGGGCGGGGCCCGGTGCTGCCCAGTGGGAACTGCAGCTGTAACCCCAGGCTATACCTTTGGGTAAGCGGAACCCTCAACCCCAGCCAAGAAGGGCAAGGTCGGCTCCCCACCCCAGAACCCACTGGACGAAGATGGGCTGCAGGCCAGGACAGAACTCCTGAGATCAGTGGGATCTCTCGTTCATCAAGGAGCACCTTCTCTTGCCTTCCACAGCAGGAATTCGAGCAGGCCCCAGCCTGTAGCATCCATGCCTGTCAGATGCAGCCACTTGAAGAGAAGAATGTTCTTGGGATGGTGCCATAGCCTTGACCCTGGGCCTCTGGGGCCCGGACCCTAACCAAGGAGCCAGGAGCCCTCTCTTGGGGTTGCAGGCATATGAAGATACAGGGAGAGGGGCCAAATGCAGTGGCTCATCCCACTTTGGGAGGCTGAGGTGGGCGGATAACCTGAAGTCAGGAGTTGGAGACCAGGTTAGCCAACCTGGTGATACACCTGTCTCTACTGAAAATATAAAAAATTAACTGGGCATGGTGGTGCTTGCCTGTAATCCTAGTTACTCGGGAGGCTGAGGCAGGAGAATCGCCTGAAGCCGGGAGGAGGAGGTTGCAGAGAGCTGAGATCATGCCACTGCACTCCAGCCTGGTCCACAGAGTTAGGTTGTCTCAAAAAAAGAAAAAACCAAAACAAAACACTACATACCTCCTGCCAAATTTGCCTGCTAGGAAATTCCTTGTGAGCCCCGAAAACTTTACTGAACTCTAAGTCATTCCTCTGCTCATCTGAGACAAATGCGCATTTGATTGAACCACCTTGACTGGTTCTTTCTTTTCTTCCTCCTCGGCATTTAAATGCAGGAGCCACTGCCTGGCTATTTCTCCTCCTCTTCCTCCTTTACAGGTGTGAGTCACCTCGCCTGGCTGTTCCTCCCCCTCTTTTACAGGCGTGTGAGTCACCTCGCCTGGCTGTTTCCTCCCCCTCTTTTACAGGCGTGTGAGTCACCTCGCCTGGCTGTTTCCTCCTCCTCTTTTACAGGCATGTGAGTCACCTCGCCTGGCTGTTTCTTCCTCCTCAACAGGTGTGAGCCATTGCACATGGGTGTTTCCTCCTCCTCCTCTATAAGCATGAGTCACCTCGCCTGGCTGTTTCCTCCTCCTCCTCCTCCTTTACAGGCGTGTGAGCCACCTCACCTGGTTGTTTCCTCCTCCTCCTCCTTTACAGGCGTGTGAGCCACCTCACCTGGTTGTTTCCTCCTCCTCCTCCTTTACAGGCGTGTGAGCCACGTCACCTGGTTGTTTCCTCCTCCTCCTCCTCCTCCTTTACAGGCGTGTGAGCCACCTCGCCTGGCTGTTTCCTCCTCCTCCTCCTCTTTTACAGGCGTGAGCCACTCGCCTGGCTGTTTCCTCCTCCTCCTCCTCTTTTACAGGCGTGTGATCCAACTCGCCTGGCTGTTTCCTCCTCCTCCTCTTTTACAGGTGTGTGAGTCACCTCGCCTGGCTGTTCCTTCCTCCTCAACAGGTGTGAGCCATTGCACATGGGTGTTTCCTCCTCCTCCTCTGCCTCTACAAGCATGAGTCAGGTCGCCTGGCTGTTTCCTCCTCCTCCTCTTTTACAGCCATGAGCCACCCGCCTGGCTGTTTCCTCCTCCTCTTCCTCTTCTTTTACAGCCATGAGCCACTACGCCTGGCTGTTTCCTCCTCCTCCTCCTCTTTTACAGCCATGAGCCACCACGCCTGGCTGTTTCCTCCTCCTCCTCCTCCTCTTTTACAGGCGTGAGCCACCCGCCTGGCTGTTTCCTCCTCCTCCTCCTCCTCTTTTACAGGCGTGTGAGCCACCACGCCTGGCTGTTTCCTCCTCCTCCTCCTCTTTTACAGGCGTGAGCCACCCGCCTGGCTGTTTCCTCCTCCTCCTCCTCTTTTACAGGCGTGAGCCACCCGCCTGGCTGTTTCCTCCTCCTCCTCCTCTTTTACAGCCATGAGCCACCACGCCTGGCTGTTTCGTCCTCCTCCTCTTTTACAGGCGTGAGCCACCTGCCTGGCTGTTTCCTCCTCCTCCTCCTCTTTTACAGGCGTGAGCCACCCGCCTGGCTGTTTCCTCCTCCTCCTCCTCTTTTACAGGCGTGAGCCACCCGCCTGGCTGTTTCCTCCTCCTCCTCCTCTTTACAGCTGAGCCACCCGCCTGGCTGTTCTCCTCCTCCTCTTTTACAGGCGTGAGCCACCTGCCTGGCTGTTTCCTCCTCCTCCTCCTCTTTTACAGGCGTGAGCCACCCGCCTGGCTGTTTCCTCCTCCTCCTCCTCTTTTACAGGCGTGAGCCACCTGCCTGGCTGTTTCCTCCTCCTCCTCTTTACAGGCGTGAGCCACCCGCCTGGCTGTTTCCTCCTCCTCCTCCTCCTCTTTACAGGCGTGAGCCACCCGCCTGGCTGTTTCCTCTCCTCCTCCTCTTTACAGCTGAGCACCTTTTTTTTCTCTCTTTTACAGCCATGAGCCACCACGCCTGGCTGTTTCGTCCTCCTCCTCTTTTACAGGCGTGAGCCACCTGCCTGGCTGTTTCCTCCTCCTCCTCCTCTTTTACAGGCGTGTGAGCCACCTCACCTGGCAGTTTCCTCCTCCTCCTCTTTTACACGTGTGTGAGTCACCTCGCCTGGCTGTTCCTTCCTCCTCAACAGGTATGAGCCATTGCACATGGGTGTTTCCTCCTCCTCCTCTGCCTCTACAAGCATGAGCCAGGTCGCCTGGCTGTTTCCTCCTCCTCCTCCTCTTTTACAGGCGTGAGCCACCCGCCTGGCTGTTTCCTCCTCCTCCTCCTCTTTTACAGCCATGAGCCACCACGCCGGGCTGTTTCCTCCTCCTCCTCCTCTTTTACAGGCGTGAGCCACCCGCCTGGCTCTTTCCTCCTCCTCCTCCTCTTTTACAGGCGTGTGAGCCACCACGCTTGGCTGTTTCCTCCTCCTCCTCCTCTTTTACAGGCGTGAGCCACCCATCTGGCTGTTTCCTCCTCCTCCTGCTGTTTTACAGCCATGAGCCACCACGCCTGGCTGTTTCCTCCTCCTCCTCCTCTTTTACAGGCATGAGCCACCCTCCTGGCTGTTTCCTCCTCCTCCTGCTCTTTTACAGGCGTGTGAGCCACCACGCCTTGCTGTTTCCTCTTCTTCCTTTATAGGTATGAGTCATCGTAGCTGGGTGTTTCCTCCTCCACAGGCGTGAGTCAGCTCACAAGGTTCTTTCTTTTCCTCCTCCTCCTCTTCCTCATTTAAAGGTGTGAGCCACTGCTTCTGGCTGTTTCTTCCTCCTCTTTCTCCTTTACAGGCGTAAGCGACCATGCCTAGCTGTTTCATCCTCCTCCTCCTGTCTCCTCCTCCTTTACAGGAGTGAGCCACCACGTCTGGCTGTTTCTTCTTCGTCTTCTTCATTTTTTTAAGAGAGAGGCTTGCTCTTTTCACCCAGGCTAGAGTGCAATGGCGCGATCTTGGCTCACTGCAACCTTCACCTCCTGGGTTCAAGCAATTCTGCCTCAGCCTCCCCAGTAGCTGGGATTACAGGATCCTACCAGCACACCCAGCTAATTGTTGTATTTTTAGTACAAACGGGGTTTCACCACGTTGGCCAGGCTGGTCTCGAACTCCTGACCTCAAATGATCCACCAGCCTCAGCCTCCTACAGTGCTGGGATTATAGGTGTGAGCCACCACGCCCGCTTGGGTATTTTTTTTTTTTTTTAATGTGTTAGCTGAGGTCTTGCTATGTTGCCCAGGCCTCCCAAAGTGCTAGAATTACAGGCATGAGCCACTGATCCTGGCCTGAGGTCACTGTGATACCCTGTTTGAAGCGGATGGGGCCTGGACCAGGTGGAGGCTATGACAGGAGCCCCTTCTTCCCTTCCTATCTATGATTCTCATTGCCTTTGCCCAGTTTTCTCTGCTTCCATTTTACTTTTTTAAGTTTTTCTTTTAGAGACAGGGTCTCACTGTGTTGTCCAGGCTGGAATGCAGCGGCATGATCATAGCTCACTGCAGCTCCACTCCTGAACGTAAATGATCCTCTCACCGCAGTCTTACAAGTAGCTGGGACTTACAGGCATGCCCCACCATGCTGGACTAATTGTTTTATTATTAGGTACAGGTAATAACACAAGAGTCTCCCTGTGTTGTCCAGGCTGGTCTCAAATTCCTGTCCTCAAGCATCCTTGCACCTTGCCCTTCCAAAGTGCTAGGATTACAGGCCACCCCGCCCTGCCTCTCCAGTCTCTGACTGTCCCCACTGGCCAGCCCTGGAAAGCGCAGCAATGAGGGAGCCAGGCTGGGGCGAGAAACACGCAGCAGCGTCCTCTTGTGCTCACTTTATATGGGGCCAGGCATGGGAGGACCTAAGCCTGCTGTGCCTGCAATAGTGCCCGCACCTGGCAGATCTGCCTGTTGATGCCGGAGCACGCAGTGCCACCCAGGGCACGATACTGCCCCACACTGTGCCCATAGTCCCACACGTGGCTCATGTCACCTGAGAACAGGGGGCTGGGGAGAGAGGAAGAGGTGGGCCAGGCCACCGGGCCACCCTGGCCTCCAGGGACCCAAGCTCACCTCTTAGAAGGCAGTGTCGAGAAAAGGGTGTGCCGCACCTGATGATGTGCAGCTCCTGCAATGACAGCTGGTTGAGGGCGACCCCCTTGGACTCAGCCATGAACACGGCTTTCCCAGAGGCCTTGTGGGCCTGGCAGAATGGCATCTGGGTGCTGGGGAGGAAGGTGGCACTGAGGCAGCTTCCTCCACGCCCTGATCTGCCTCCATTGCCTGCGCCTCTTCCTTTTTTTTTTTTTTTTTTTTTTTTGATACAAAGTCTCACTCTGTCGCCCAGGCTGGAGTGGTGTCCCGACCTCACCTCACTTCAACCTCCACCTCCCAGGTTCAAGCGATTCTCCTGCCTTAGCCTCCTGAGAAGCTGGGATTATATGACTGTGCCACCACGCCCAGTTAACTCTTGTATTTTTAGTGGAGACAGGGTTTCACCATGTTGACCAGGCTGGTCTCGAACTCCTGACCTCAACTTACCCACCCACCTAGGCCTCCCAAAGTGCTGGGATTACAGGTGTGAGCCACCAGGCCAGGGAACCTGCACCCTGAGCTCCCCTACCCTCTGAGGGGCACCCCATCTCCTCAACCTCCCCCTGGCTGATACACACTCACCTCTTTGCAGACCAGGTAGTAGGCGAGGTCAGTGGCCAGTATGTCAGGGTTGAGGGCCTGTCCTATGTTCTCTCAGTGAACCTGGGGGCACAGGTGGGCAAGTGGTGAGCCCTGGGCACCCTGGGGTCTGAAGCTGTCAAACCCAGGACCTGTCCCTCTGCCAGGATGTCCCTGCCTTGGGCAGATCCTCTCTTACCCACTCGGCTCTGTCTCACTCTCAGCTTGAACCATCTTCTCCATAATTACTGATAATATTTACATACACTATTAACGCTTACTGGCCTGTAGGTTTTACTGGCCTTTATGTTTTCAAAGAGTCCTTATCTTTAGCATGCACCAGATGTTCCTGGAGGATTTGTTTTCTGTTGTAGGAGACAGGGTCTTGCTCTGTTGCCCAGGCTGGAGTGCAGTGGCCATCACAGCTCATTGCAGCCTGGACTCAAGGGATCTTCCAGCCTTGGCCTCCTGAATAGCTGGGACTACAAGTGCGCACGGCACCATACCCAGCTAATTTGTTGTTGTTGCTGATTTGGGCTTTTTTGAGACAGGGTCTTGCTCTGTCACCCAGGTTGGAGTGCAATGGCACAATCATGGCTCTCTGCATCCTTGACCTCCTGGGCTCAAGAGATCCTCCCACATCAGTCTCCAGAGTGGCTAGGACCACAGGTACACGCCATCATGACTGGCTAATTTAATTTTTTTGATTTTAGAGACAGGGTCTCGCTATGTTGCTCAGGCTGGTTTTGAACTCCTGGGCTCAAGCGATGCTCCTGCCTCAACCTCTCAAAGTGGTGGGATTACACGCGTGAGCCACCAGGCACAGTGACTGGAGAATTTATGAAAAATACAAATTACTGGACAGCCATGGTGGCCCACACCTGTAATCCCAGCATTTCGGGAGGCTGAGGTGGGCGGATCACCTAAGGTCGGGAGTTTGAGAGCAGCGTGGCCAACATGGTGAAACCCCGTCCCTACTAATAATACAAAATTAGCCAGGCATGGTAGTGCGTGCCTGTAATCACAGCTACTCGGGAGGCTGAGGCAATCGCTTGAACCTGGGAGGCGGAGGTTGCGGTGAGTCAAGATCACGCCATTGCACTCCAGCCTGGGCAACAAGAGTGAAACTCCATCTCAAAAAAATAAATAAATAAAATAAATATACATCCCTGGGGACCACCCCCAGAGTCTCTGATTCAACCATCTAGAGTGGGGCCTCACATCACATTTCTCAGGAGTTCTGAGGTGATGCTGGTGCTGCTAGTTGACTAGTTTCAAGAAACAGTTTTTTTTTCCCTTTGTTTTTAGATAAAGTATTGCTCTGTCACACAGGCTGGAGTGCAATGGCGTGATCTCCGCTCACTGTAATCTCCATCTCCCCAGTTCAAGCGATCCTCCCACCTCAGCCTCCCAAAGTGGCTAGGATTACAGACATGAGCCACCGCGCCTGGCCCATGTCCTGAGGTCTCACCTGCTGTCTGCCAATGACGAAGTAAACAGAATGATGCCCCGGGCAAGGTGGAGAGGGGAGGCCAGGAAAGCGGTGGGGCTCCATGGGTCGTACCTTCAGGCGGTGCTCATTGGCTGTGTGGATGTCCTCATTATTGGAGTTGAGTTTGAAGGTGCCCTGGGCCCACTCCTCAGCCACCTATAGCGGGTAGCAGCAATGCCAGGGGTCAGGTGAGCAGTCATCAGCAGCCAAGAGGGCCCCTGCCCTGGTCCCACCCTCCGTGATGACTGACTGTTCCTGTCCAGGAGTTGAGTCCTGAAAGTGCACCCTGAGAAGGTGCAACTGGGGCCCTGCACACCTTTACCCATGAGCCATATGGGCCACAGGGGTCATTAAAGGATGGAGAGAGGTGGTCATCAAGGCACCCAGTTAAACAGCACATGAGAATATACTTAGTTCAACGTGAAACCACAGACTAGCAACACTGCACTATTTGCTCAGGGATTTGGTGGGAGCCTGTGGCCACAGGGAGGGGGTCTCAGGTGGGGCTTGGGCCACGGCAAGTACCTTGTCTAGGCCATGTAGTATCCGGTCCATCTCGGCCTTGGTGAGAAGCCCTGAGAGCACACCACTGGACTACAGCCTGGGTGACAGAGCAAGACTGCATCTCAAAAAAAAAAAAAAACAAAACAAAACAGGACAAAGTGAGTGATTAAACGTGGCTCTAAGATCTCATCCATGCCCTCAACAGGTATTATTTACCGCATGCTGTGTCAGATATTGCAGAGTACCTTGGAAGCAACAATAAACAGGACTTCCTTCTCTCTCCTGAGCCCACAGTCCTCAAGGCTGCAATGAGCTGTGATCGCACCACTGCACTCCAGCTAGGGCAACAGAGTAAGACCTTGCCTCTACAGAAGAAAAAGAAAACTCAGGTTCCAACTCAGGACTTACTGAATCAGGATCTCAGAATGCAGAGATCTGCCATTTCAAAAAAACTTCCCCTAGAGATTCTGATCAGCCAGGTGTGGGCCAGATGAACTCTAAGCCCCCTTAAACCTTTGACATTCTATGAGTCTATTAAATCAAAGTGCAAAAAACGCTGAGTCCAAACTGAGCAAACAAATCCCATCTCCCTATGTGCAGCCTCCCTGGATTCAGAAAGTCACACTGCCTGGCGAGTAAGCAGGGAGAGAATTCTCATTAACCCAAAGACCATCTTTGAAAACAGACTGGCTGCAGCTGAGTGCGGTGGCCCACACCTGTAACCCCAGCCCTTTGGGAGGTTGAGGCAGGAGGATCGCTTGAGCCCAGGAGTTCGAGATCAGCCTGGGCAACATGGCAAGACCCTGTCTCTATTTTTTCAAGTAAAAAAACAAAATAAAAAATCCCACACTAGCAGCTCATGGTTCTCTCCAGCTGTTCCCATGAGCAGACTTCAGGACAAGGCCAGGCAAAGGTGGGGAAAAATGGGGTGGGGACCCCCAGGTTCACCCTCTTGTCTGCTACATAGTTGGAGTTGGTCACAAAGGTCACAGGCCGGGAAGGGTCCAAGGCTTTGGTGTGAGCGATCACCATCCTGTCCACAAAAGGCAGAAGGCACAGGTTCCGTCAGTCCAGGAAGGGCTCAGACACCCTCCCATCCTTTCTGTCCCATCTTCCCCCATCAGAACACAACACGGGGCCAGGCACGATGGCTCATACCTTTCATCTCAGCACTTTGGGAGGCCGAAAGAGGGTAGATCACTTGAGGTCGGGGGTTGAAGATCAGCGTGGCCAACATGGCAAAACCCCGTCTCTATTACAAATACAAAAATTAGTCGGTCATGGTGGCACGTCTGTATCACCAGATACTCGGAAGCTGAGGCACGAGACTCTCTTGAACCCGGGACATGGAGGCTGCAGTGAGCCGAGATCACGCCACTGCACTCTAGCCTGCTCCACAGAAGAAGACCCTGTCTCAAACAAACAAACAAACAAAAAGAAAAAAAACATGCAGCCACTGCTTTCTTCCCTAACTTGAGATGTATTTTACATAAGGGCACATGATCCTCTAGTCCTAGACCGAGCTCTCTAACATCACTCTTTCTCCCCCTGCCTCCGAATCCTATCCCCCCAGAGGAGCAGCCACCCTTCCAGGCACACAGAGCTGAGGTCAGTGGGCTGGACACTGCCAAAAATGAGGTTGACTACCTGAAACAGCTCTTGAACACAGGAATGGATGGGTGCAGATTCAGGAGGGATATTTATTAATGCATCAAGCAAACAGGGAGTGCAGGCTGGGAGGTAGGCATGGGGCTTGGTGCGAGGTGCTCAGTAGTGGCTCAAATCGAAGGCCACAGGTCCTGGGCAGTGGGAATGGAGAAACATGCACAGAGAAATGGTGCAAGTGCCGGGCAAGGTGGCTCACGCCTAGAATCCCAGCACTTCAGGAGGCTTACTAGAGACCAGGAGTTCGAGACCAGCCTGGGCAACATAGCAAGACCGTTTCTACAACAAATGTATAAATTAGGGTGGGGCATGGTGGCTCACACCTATAATCCCAGCACTTTGGGAGGCCAAGGCAGGTAGATCACGAGGTCAAGAGTTCAAGACCAGACTGGCCAACATGGTGAAACCCCATCTCTACAAAAAAATACAAGAAAAAAACAACTGGCTGGGCCTGGTAGCACCTGCCCGTAATCCTAGTTACTCGGGAGGCTGAGGCAAGAGAATTGCTTGAACCCAGGAGGTAGAGGTTGCAGTGAGTCGAGATTGCACCACTGCTCTCCAGTCTGGGCAACAGAGCAAGAAACTTTTTCTCAGTGGGAAAAAAATAAATTTAAACTTAGCCTGGCATGGTGGCACACATCTGTGGTCCCAGCTCTTTGGGAGGTTGAGGGGGAGGATAGCTTAAGCCCAGGAGGTTGAGGTGGCAACAAGCCATGACTGCACCACTGCACTCCATCCTGGGCAACAGAGCAAGACTCTGACTCTGAAAAAGAAACAATGAAAGAAATGTTGCAAATGGAAATGACAAGTGGTGGCAGGAATTGGGCTCTGCAAGACAATAAACATAACTTGGACTGGAGAGTCAGGGACAGCCTCTTAGAAGAAACAGCCTTTATGCCAGGTCAAGTTAACCAGGAGGGATAAACGGAAGAAAAACCCAACAGAGGGACGAGCCTGTGGTCAGAGCTTCCATCACCCGCCCCAGGCCTCCACAGTTATTTTTTTTTTAGAGACAGGGTCTCATTCTGTAGCCCAGGCTGGAGTACAACCTCCCCTTCCTGGTTTTAAGTGATTCTCCTGCTTCAGCCTCCCGAGTAGCTGGGATTACAGGCGCACACCACCATGCCCGGCTTATCTTTGTATTTTCAGCAGAGATGGGGTTTCACTATCTGTTGGTCAGGCTGGTCTTGAACTCCTGACCTCAAGTGATCCACCCACCTTGGCCTCCCAAAGTGCTGGGATTACAGACATGAGCCATCATGTTCGGCCTAGACTGTTGTTGAAGCCTCTTTTCCTCTTCTCTTTCCTAAGTTCATTTCTTCTTTTACACCCTCCCCCCATCATTGCTCTGCCCATTCAAAGCTGGCTGTGGCTGGCACAGGACAGAACAGAACCCCCTATTCTCAAGTTCCAAACCCACACTCTCCAACAGCCAGGCTTGAAGATGGGAAGCTTCAAAGGCTTGTGACAGCCCGGCTGAACCACTCCAGCCTGGACAGCTCCCTTCAATTCCTGCCCCTGGGAAAACAGGCAACAGGCATCTCCTGAAAAGGCTGCTGATGTCGGCCTTGAAGGGGAGGTAGACCCCTCATGCTCTAGCGCATTGACCCCATTTACCCACTGTAGACACAGGGGATATGGGGAGGGTGGGGGGCAGGTCAGGGCATGAGGAGGGGCCCTGCTATTGGGCACTCCCTCACATAAACTACAGCATGGAGCTCAGGGGCCTGCCAGTCAGACGGGAAGAATGGCATCCCAATGGGGTAGATCAGGCCACCTATCCCCCTACACAGGGCACAGCCCCCAGGGCAGGGCAGGGCCCCCCACAGTCCCACCCCAGGAGAAAGGCTGTTCAGCAGCCATGCCCACCCACCCGCCCTGCCTGCTCCTGGCTGCACTGACCACGATGGCATAGGAGTGGGCACCGCCAAGCCTCAGCACCACTCTTGTGCGCAGGTCCTGGGTTCATTGCTCCGGCAGGGTCACCTCCTGTTCATACTACACCTGGCTGACAAAATGCCGCAGCCGCCAGTCCTGGCCAATGTCGTTGAAGCTGGAAGGAACCGGCATGTCCAGGGTGGGGCCCGACTGTGGAAAGAAGGGCCAGTCTCAGCCGGGCGCGGTGGCTCAAGCCTGTAATCCCAGCACTTTGGGAGGCCGAGACGGGCGGATCACGAGGTCAGGAGATCGAGACCATCCTGGCTAACACGGTGAAACCCCGTCTCTACTAAGAAATACAAAAAAATAGCCGGGCGAGGTGGCGGGCGCCTGTAGTCCCAGCTACTCGGGAGGCTGAGGCCGGAGAATGGCGAGAACCTGGGAGGCGGAGCTTGCAGTGAGCTGAGATCCGGCCACCGCACTCCAGCCTGGGCTACAGAGCGAGACTCCGTCTCAAAAAAAAAAAAAAAAAAAAAAAAAAGAAGGGCCAGTCTCAGCTCCTAGGCCCCCAAAGGGATCCGGGACCAGTGTGCTGCACAGCTGTGCCCCCAGGCCTAGCGCAAACCCTGACACATAGCAGGGAATCTTAGCAAAACAGACAGATAACTTGCTGAGGACAGGTCAACTGTCAGGGCGGTTTGTGCACCTGGGCCAGTGGGGCCAGGAGTCCATCCTCGGAGTGGATGGGGCCCAATATCTCTCGAGACACGAGTGAGCCCAGGGCCACATCCCAGCTCGAGGCAAGAAGATTTAGACTGGTGACTAAGAGGTAGATGACCCACTGCCTCTCACAGGGAGGAAGACTGGTTGGGGGGTTTGAGGGGGCTTTCCTTAGGACACTGAGTGGGGCGCACACTAGCACCCAGTTCTCTCCTCTCTTCCTCCTGTACTGAATGCCACAAAGTCAGAAAAAGAGGATGCAGACCAGGCAAAAGTGGCCCAGACCTTACCGGGTCCCACTTCTCTCCTGGCCACATCCAAGTCAGGAGGGGAACAGGGGTGGCGTCCTTGGCCTGTCACATCCTGTCCTGTATCTGAACCTTGAAAACCAAAGGACCTTCCTGCCTTGGCAGAGCTGACCTCAGGACATCTAAACTGTCCCCTCCTCCCGATCCCTGGGCCCAGCTCTGTGCAGCGCCTGCCGCTCTGGCCCCCCAGTGTCTGGGTGGCTCATGCCTGTAATCAGCGCTTTGGAAGGTTAACGTGGGAGGATGGCTTGAGGCCAGGAGTTCGAGACCAGCCTGGGCAACGTAGTGAGACTCTATATCTTAAAAAAAAAAAAAGTTATTATTATTATTTTTAAGACAAGAGTCTCACTCTGTCACCAAGGCTGGAGTGCAGTGGGGTGATCTCAGCTCACTGCAACCTCTGCCTCCTGGGTTCAAGTGATTCTCCTGGCTTAGCTTCCCAAGTAGCTGGAATTACAGGTATGCACCACCACACCCGGCTAGTTTTTATATTTTCAGTGGAGATGGGGTTTCACCATGTTGGCCAGGCTGGTCTTGAACTCCTGGCCTCAGGTGATTTACCCGTCTCAGCCTCCCAAAGTGCTGGCATTACAGGCGTGCGCCACCAAGCACGGGTACATTTTTTTCTTTTCTTTCTTTTTTTTTTTTTTTGAGACAAGAGTCTCACTCTGTAGCCCAGGCTGGAGTGCAGTGGCGCGATCTCTGCTCACTGCAAGCTCCGCCTCCCGGGTTCATGCCATTCTCCTACCTCAGCCTCCCGAGTAGCTGAAACTACAGGCCCCGCCACCACACCCGGCTAATTTTCTTTTTTTCTTTTTTTTTTTTTCCTTTTTTTCCTTTTTTTTTTTTTTTTTTGAGACGGAGTCTCGCTTTGTCGCCCAGGCTGGAGTGCAGTGGCCGGATCTCAGCTCACTGCAAGCTCCGCCTCCCGGGTTTACGCCATTCTCCTGCCTCAGCCTCCCGCGTAGCTGGGACTACAGGCGCCCACCACCTCGCCTGGCTAGTTTTTTGTATTTTTAGTAGAGACGGGGTTTCACCATATTAGCCAGGATGGTCTCGACCTCCCAAAGGGGTTTCACCGTGTTAGCCAGGATGGTCTCAATCTCCTGACCTCGTGATCCGCCCGTCTCGGCCTCCCAAAGTGCTGGGATTACAGGTGTGAGCCACTGCGACCGGCCTCGACTTTTTTTTTTTAATTAGCCAGGGATGGTGGCTCCAGCTAACTTGCAAGGCTGGGGTGGGAGGATCGCCTGAGCTCAGAAGTTAGGATTGCACCACTGCGCTCCAACATGGGTACCCGACAGGGCCAAACCCAGTCTCAAAAAATTTTTTTAAATTAAAAATAAACACTAAAAAAATAGATACTGCCCGGGCTCAGCCTTCGCCCACGGAGGGGACTCTGCAGAAGCGTTTCCTCCTCCTCCTCGGCCATCCTGGGTCCCCCCGTCCACCTGTCCCCCAACCCGGCGCACCCAAGCCCGTTGACCTTTAACCTCCTCCGGGCTCCCAGCTCCGGACGCCTAGGTGAAGGAGCCTGCCGGGGGGCCCGGGCTCCTCCACTCCCGCCCCCGGGCTTCCGGGGACCTCCCGGCCCTGCCCCAAGCACGCACCTCTCGCAAGGGACACCGATAACACCGCTCCTAGAAACCACCGCACCTGATGTCGAAGAAGTCGGCGCCGAAGCTCCAGAGGCCTCCAGCTCCTTGCGCTCCGCAACGGCCTCTCTCGGGGGTATAACATTCAGCCCTGCAGCGCCAGGGCGCAGCCCCACAAGAGCGGCCCGAGCGCCTACCAGGTGTCAGGCAGCCCCACAGACCACACTTTCTACTCCTCCCTGGGCCGCCGTCTACGGGTCTAAGAGCAGCGCGGGAGGAGCCCTGCATCTCGCGCGACGTGACGCGCGACGTGACGCGCCGCGACGCGCCTGAGGCCATGCCCGCCATCTTTGTTGAGGGCGACTGCCAGGCCTTGAGGGGCTGGGCGGGGCCAGGCGCTACAGAGTGGAGTGGGTGGTTGGGAACCCAGGGCTAGGCCCTTCAAGCAGGACCCTCACCCTCAGCCCCAGCCAAGAAGGGTGAAGTCTGCTCCCCACCTCGGCCCAGTCCTGACGATCCAGGGCTGCAGGCCAGGACAGAACCCCTGAGATAGGCTGGATTCCCCTCTTTCTTCAAGAAGCACTTCCATTGGCTTTCCCCAGCCAGACTCCGAGCAGGCTCCAGCAGAGCCTCTTCTATGCCTGTTGGACGCAGCCTCTTGGAGGGATGCACGTCCTTGGGATGCGGCCCGTAGCCTTGACCCTGGGCCTCTGGGGCCCTGATCCTAACCCGGGGGCCAAGAGCTCCCTCTTGGCATTGCAGGCACGTAAGGATGCAGGGAGAGGGCCTGGCGCAGTGGCTCACGCCTGTAACCAGCACTTTGGGAACCCGAGCAAAGCGGATCACTTGAGGCCAGGAGTTCAAGAGCAGCCTGAACAAAATGTGGAAACCCCGTTTCTACTACAAAAAAAGAAAAGAAAAGAAAAGAAAAAAAATGGCCGTGGTGGTGGGTGCCTGTAATTCCAGCTACTAGGGAGGCTGAGGCTGGAGAATCGCTTGAATACGGGAGGCGAAGGTTTCAGTGAACCGAGATCGCACCACTGCACTCCAGCTCTGGGCGAAAGAACGAGACTCTGTCACAAAAAAAAAAAAAAAAAAAATTGCAGGGAGAGGGTTTCCTGCGAGACCCTACCCTACTCCAGTAGGGAAGGCACCGTGTGGAAGAGGGTAGAGGAGGAGATCTGGAGACGGCAAAGGAGACATAGGTTTATGGAGGGGACTTTCATACAGGGAAGGTGCCGTGGCCATGGCTGGACATGAGAAGCACTACCATTTGTAAAATGCATGCAACTTACATAACATTTTCACCTAGCATCCTCTACCCATTACTGGTGGTAGGTGTCCAAGTTCCTGGTGATGAATCCGTACACATCTGCAACTACCTCAATTCTTGCCTCCTCAGAAGAAAGAATCAGACTGAGGGTCATAAGGCAGAAACCCAAATGGAGGCAAGTTGCAGAGCAGGAGTAAAAGTTTGTTAAAACGTAGGCCGGGCACAGTGGTTCAAGCCTGTAATCCCAGCACTTCAGGAGGCTGAGCCGGGTGGATTACCTGAGGTCAGGAGTTTGAGAACAGCCTGGCCAACATGGTGAAACCCTATCTCTACTAAAAATACAAAAATTAGCTGGACGTGGTGGTCAGCGCCTGTAATCCCAGCTACTTGGGAGGCTGAGGCAGGAGAATCACTTGAACTTGGAAGGCAGAGGTAGCATGAGCTGAGATCGCACCACTGTACTCAAGCCTGGGCTAAAGAGTGAGACAGCATCTCAAAAAAAAAAAAAAAAGAAAAAAAAGTTTATTAAAAAACTTTAGAACAGGAAGGATAGGAAAGAGAGAAAGTAAAACTTGGAAGAGGGCCAAGTGGGCGACCAGAGAAACCAAGTGCCCAGCTTAACCTCTTGACTCAGGGTTTCATAGGTTGGCATTCTTCCTGGATCTTGCCACTCCTGATTCCTTAGCTTGGGGCTCTGAACACACATTTTTCTTAGACCATAAAGTCATTCTCAGGGTCCACATTAGTTACGGATGTCAGGTGCCTCTGCCATAAAGAGGGGGCGCTCAGGTCCTAGGAACCTGGCCTGGACACAATTGTTTGTACGATTACTCCCCCACTCCCTTTTTTAATGCTCACCAAATCAACCTTCTGAAAATGGACCTTAATACTGGAAATGGAGTCTTGCTCTATTGCCTAGGCTGTAGTACAGTGGCACACTGCAGCCTCTGCCTCCTGGGTTCAAGCAATTTCTCAGCCTCCCAAGTAGCTGGGACTACAAATGTGCACCACCACACCTGGCTAATTTTGTAGGTTTTTTTTTTTTTTTTTTTTTTTTAAGAGTTGGGGCTTCACCATGTTGGCCAGGCTGGTCTTGAACTCCTGACCTCAAGTGATCTGCCTGCCTCGGCCTTTGAAAAGTACTGGGATTATAGGCCTCTCCAAAGTGCTGGGATTACGGGACCCACCGGCCCATATGGAAAGATTTTTAAAGTCAGGGAGGCTGAGGTTACAGGCAAAGTCATCAATCAATCCATAAAATGGTTTGGCCCCAAAAGGCGGGATATCTTGAAGCATCTTGGCCAGTCTGGTCTCAAAGTCCTGACCTCAGGTGATCCACCTGCCTCAGCTTTCCAAAGTGCTAGGATTACAGGCGTAAGCCACCACGCCTGTAAAAATTAGCCAGGTTTGGTGGAATGTGCCTGCAATCCCAGCTACTTAGGAGTCTGAGACAGGAGTACTACTTGAACGTGGAAGGCAGAGGTTTGCAATGAGCTGATGTTGCACCATTGCACTCCAGCCTGGGCAACAAGAGTGAAACTCGGTCTCAAAACAAAACAAAACAAAACAAAACAAAACAAAACAAAACAAAAAAGGCATAAGTGACCATTCCCCCAGATGTACATTGTGTATTTGGTGAAAGCCTGATCAAAGTCCGGGTGCAGTGACTTGTGCCTATAATTCCAGCACTTTGGGAGGCCAAGGCAGGTGGATCACGTGAGGTCAGGAGTTCGAGACCAGCCTGGCCAAGGTGGTGAAACCCCATCTCGACTAAAAATACAAAAATTATCCAGGCTTGGTGGCAACCACCTGTAATCCTGGCTGAGGCAGAAGAATTGCCTGAACCTGGGCAGTGGATGTTGCAGTGAGCTGAGATTGCACCACTGCACTCCAGCCTGGGCAACAGAGCCGGACTCCATCTCAAAAAAACAAAACAAAACAAAACAAAAACACAAATGAACAAAAAAACAATTTATGGCTTCACTAGAGGCTGACCAACTGATCCCCATTTCCTATCCCACCAGCCATAATGACAATTTTAATAAGACAAGAGACTCTAGTAACTTTCTCCTGATAAACACCAACTGACCATGCACTAGTTCTGGCTGAATGACAGAAATTACACATCTGCATGCCTTTGTGTACTGAAAAGACCTTTTGACAGATAAAATCTAACTGTACATTTAAATATTAAGTTTGCATCCCGAAATGAACATGGATCCTGTATTACATGCATATTAATTGATTCAATACACCTGTGTCAGGACCGCCTTCATGAATATTCACAGCTCCTCCTATAACCTTTTAAATATGTGTAACCATTCTGCTGTCAGATCACTATAGAAGCTGCGGATACAACTGACAGTGCAGAGCTTAATTAATCAATTTAATAATTAAGATTGAATGCTGGCTGGGACGATGGTTCACGCCTGTAATCCCAGCACTTTGGGAGGCTGAGGTAGGCAGATCATATGAGACCAAGAGTTCGAGACCAGCCTGGCCAACATGGTGGAACCCTGTCTCTACTAAAAATTAAAAATAACTTAGCCGGGTGTGGTGGTGCACACCTGTAACCCCACCTACTCGGGAGGCTGAGGCATGAGAATTGCTTGCACCCAGGAGGCAGAGGTTGCAGTGAGCCGAGATCACATCACTACACTTCCGCCTGGGTCACAGAATGAGACTCTGTCTCAAAAAAAAAAAAAAAAAAAAAGAAAAAAAGAAAAAAAAAAGAAAAGTGGCCCAGCTGCATTCCCTGCCCCTTGCATAGAAGTGGACCATACCTCTGAATATCTTCCTAGAGCCTCTTCTATCAAAATTTAGTGATAGTTGGATGCTTTTCCCTCCCTTGGATGTGGCCGTCCTCCCTTCCTGAGTATTCAGCTTTAGAAAGGGGCATCCTGGCATCCTAGCTTACCCTCCTTTTTGAGCTGCAGCATTTGGTGGCTAAGAAAGGACAAGCATCCAGGGAATCACCTGTGGCTAATCAGGCAGGACCTGCCCTAGAGCGAGGTGTGTCTGGATCTCACTAAGAGCTGATCATACTGTGCTGGATGCGAGAGACCCATGGTATCCATGGAGGGATCTTGCACTAAATTATTGCAGCTTTGTCCAGATTTTATGCAGGACCTGGATGGAGTTGAGATCTAGCCAATATTTCTCTATGTGAAAAAAATAGGAAGGACTGAACCATATCTACCTTCCTAGGATATATGTGCTTTCAAATAAATACAGAAATAAAAATTGCCTGGTATAGTGGCCCACACCTTTAATCCCAGCACTTTGGGAAGCTGAATTGGGGGCATCGCTTGAGCCCATGAGTTCGAGACCAGCCTGGGCAACACAGTGGGATCGTCTCTACAAAAAATTCAAAAATTAGGCACACGTGATGGTGTGAGCCTGTAGTCCCAGCTTCTTGGTAAGCTGAAACAGGGGCATGGTGTGTGCCCAGGAGGTTGAGGCTGCAGTGAGCTGTGATTGTGCTACTGCATTCCAGCCTGGGTCACAGAGCGAGACCCGGTCTCAAAAATAAATAAATAAATAAGGTCAAAGAGTAAATACACAAAATCTGCAGATAAATGAGTAAAGCACTTTTATTCAGTCTTATTTATTTGTTTATTTATTTATTTAGAGAAAGAGTCTCACTCTGTTGCCCAGGCTGGAGGGCAGTGGTGTGATATCAGCTCACTGCAACCTCTGCCTCCCAAGTTCAAGCAGTTCTTCTGCCTCAACCTCCCGAGTAGCTGGGATTACAGGCGTATGCCACCACACCCAGCTACATCCAGCCTTATAATTAAGGATTAAAATGGTTCACCCTCACATAAAATCTGCCACCTCTGCCAGCAAGACTAATTATAAAATTCATCAGCCTCGTGATTGAGCTGTTGTGTATCCATCAAGGGCAAGACACCCACAAATCATAAGCTACTATTTGACATAGCAGGTGGGTGAGAGAAATGATTGCCTCCTTGTCATTTTTCAGCCAGTGATCAACATGGCATGATACTGCACTCACATTGTTAGGCCATGGCCATGGTGCAGGTGATAATAGCTAGTGGGGAGTGCTCCTCTCTCTCAGGTGCAGATGGAATGCAGAGGAAATAGTGAGGGCAAAGTGTGTGCAACATTTGGAGAATGGAGCTGTCTATCATAAGGCACTATTATGTGGACCATTCCTTCTTTAACAAACATTTATAATGAATTTTGGCTATGTACCAGGCACAGTTCTAGATACCAGGGATAGAGCAGAGAAGCAAACAAATTCCCAGCTTTTTTTTTTTTTCAACACATTCCCTACTTTTACGGAGCATACATTCCAGTTGGAGGAGAGAGGACCAGAAATAGATAAATGTATGCTGTGCAGCAGAGATGCTTGGTAAGGGAAAGGGGAGGGGGTGTGACTGGGAGATTACCAGTTTGGATAAGTTGTCCAGGAAGATGTTTCTACTTTGGTAGAGACTGAACAGAGCAAAAGAGAGCAGAAGTCAAGAAGACAGCGGAGGGGAGAGTTTCCGAGGGAGCTGTGAGTACCTAAGGCCTGAGGTTGGAGCACATTTGGTGTATTTGAGCAACAGCAAGGAGGAAGCCACGTGCCTGTAGTGCAGGGA